CTGTGGTGCCCCCCCCCGCAGGACCCGTCCACCAGCCTGGGGGCTGCGATCTGCACCCCGCTGAAGCCAAGGCCAATGCCCACCCAGGAGTGCCCCCAGGCCCACAGCTCCCAGGGGAGCCTGCATGCCCCACCCCCACCCCAAGTACAAACACTTGAGAAGCCAGAGGGCTCCAAGCTGCTAAGTCACTGTGTTCCAGGACCAGTATGCAGAGTTCTGCAAGCTCCAGGGAGAGGTGGGTGCCACCCTGGCCAAGCTGAGCCACTGGGGGAAGTACTGTGCTCCCTGACTCCACCCAGAGCCCAGTACCCTGGCTCCCTACACAGGCAGGTGTGCCATGTCCCTGACATGGACACAGGAGGCTGTGACCCTTGCTCCCCCACCTGGCCAGGCGGAACAAACACGTTGCCTGCTGGGTGCGGCCGCCTAACAAAACAAAACAAAATAAAAATGAATGTCCATGTGGAAATCAGACAGAATTCCTATCTCACACTAAACACAGAACACTAACCCCAAGTAGATTATAAAGGTTAGTGCTAACAGAAAAACCTTAACACTTTCCATAGGGGAAATGTGTTTTTTTCTGTTCTTGAATTAAAGCTTTATTAAGACACACAAAAAGATAACTATGAAAGAAAAATAATGATTTGACTCTCTTAAAGTTAAGAACTTCTTTTTCATTTTGGTACTGGAGACCGAACTCAGGACCTTGAGCTTGCCAGGGAGGTACGGTGCCACTGAGCTACATCCCCAGCAAGTTAAGAACTTCTAAGCAACAAAAGACAAAGAATGAAAAACTGGGACACCCACAACGTACAACAAAGATTTGGTGTCAGAGAGAATTCTTACATATCAAAAGGGAATAAGCCCCTCTATAGCCTTGTCTAAAAGGCATGAAAAATAGGGAAATAATTTGAGAATATGGTATGGCAGGATTTTCAAATGCTGCTATGATTAACTATCACCAGCTTAGTGACTTAAAAGCTCAAGATACACTCATTGCCTCCTGGCTCTGTCCATCTGAATATGTTCTACGTGCTGGGATCAAACTGGCATCGCACGGTCATGGCCCCTTCCTCCACCTGCAAAGCCAGCACGGACAGCAGGGCTCTTCACAGGGCCCCAGGTTCCCTCTTCACTGCCCCCTCTTTCCCCTCAGGGCCCTGTGAGTGCCACAGGCTCAGCCTGAGATGACCACAGCCATTCTGAGCCCGTTGGCCATGCCTGCCCCGGGGGAACCCTGGCCGGTTTCTCCTGAAGCCTGGCAGACTGTAGCAGAAGCCCTCACCCTGCCAAGCCCTACCACAGCAGGCCAGCAGTGTGCCCAAGGCTTGGGTGGGTACACTGGGCCCACTCTAGCTGCCAGGGAGCCCTTCATCCTAATCTATATGGATGAGATTCCTTCTCGCCTCCCAGGACTGCACTGCCATCAGGGACCCCAGAAATCACTCTGCAATCCTGGCTCTGCTGCGCTCCAGTCTCAGTGGCCCCGCAGGACAATCCTCACTCGGCAGAGCTGGGCAGCTCCTGAACACCCATAATCCAGGAGAACCTTCTGTGGCCACACCTGCTGTCTTTTTCTTTTCTTGAGACAGGGTCTCATCATGCAGTTGAGGCTGGCCTTGAACTCACAGCGATCCTCCTGTCTCAACCTCCTAAGCACTGGGATCACAAGCACTCGCTTGGCACCATCAGCCTTAATTCCACTTGAAACCTTACTGCCCCTTTCCCATGTAATTGGACACATTCACAGGTTCTAGGAATGAGGAAGTAGACATCCTGGGGCAACATTATTCTGCCCACACAGGTACCCAGTCAGGACAGGCCTCATGTTGGCACCACAGTACAGTTGCCACGTGTAGGATGCTCAGGAAAAGTTAGTGAAGGCAATACTACAGAAAAATAAAAACACTGCAATTTCACCACTTATTCATAAACAATATTTTTACTGAAAATATTTCACAATTCATGTAAAAATATCAAGGCAACTTAATGCCCAATTAATTTAATGTATAAAAATAAAACGTCAAACCCAAAATTCATAAAAGGTACAGATTAAATATAACTTAAATTTTTCCAATATAAATAATCAACATATAAAATGTATAAAAACAGAGCTCAGGACATGGCTCAGTGGCAGAGCTCTTGCCTAGACCTGAGTTCCATCCCCAGCACTGCAAAAAAAAAAAAAAAAAAAAAAAAAAAAGGAAAACTAAATATCCAAATGGAAATGTAATCAATATGTATTTTTTTATCTTAAGTATTTTCACATGAAACAACATCGTCTTTCAAGTTCAATCTCAAAAACAGTGTACCAATGGTTTCCTTCTGAGTTAAGTGTTCTGTTTTTAGTTTTTGTATTTTGTGACAAGATCTCTTTGTAGTAAAAGGCTGGCCTCGAACTCACCTCTATCCTCCTACCTCAGCCTCCCCAGGGCTAGGATGACAGGTGTGCACCACCACACCCGAGGAAAAGGTCGACTGGCAGGAGACACTGCGGACAGTGTCTGAGCTCCAGGAGAGCCCGCCCGTGCCATTCCGCGGGTGCCACGTGGCTTGGGTGTGCTAGGGCAGATTTCGGGGGTGTCACCGAGCCCTTCTCGGACCCAAGCCTGAGTCCACCGCAGTAACCACGTCGCGTGCAAAACCTTGGCAGTCACTTTCTATTTGTTCAGGAGTCAGTTCCGAGGTTCGGGACGCGGCCGGGCAGC